TTTGAAACATGAGTATAAGCACAACGGTGTTTTACACTCCTCACACATAAAACGAGTGTGTCTGCGTTTTTGTGGGCGTTTTGTGGTATGTCCACAGACAAAACACCTCTTCTGAGCATTTTTCTCGAGAGCAGTAGCAGGCAGTGGTATGGGGTATTGATCACCAGGCTTCAGACGAGAGGACATGTGTTGATAATTTCGTGGGCGCTGGTCTATTGCAGGTGTTGTTCCTTGGTCTTCTTTCTTTCAACACACCGGCCGTATCCCACCAAGGCGGGGTGGCCCAAAAGGAAAAACGAAAGTTTCTCCTTTTACATTTAGTAATATATACAGGAGAAGAGGTTACTAGCCCCTTGCTCCCGGCATTTTAGTCGCCTCTTACAACACGCATGGCTTACAGAGGAAGAATTCTGTTCCACTTCCCCATGGAGATAAGAGGAAATAAACAAGAATTAGAACTAGAAAGAAAATAGAAGAAAACCCAGAGGGGTGTGTATATATGTGCTTGTGCATGTAAGTGTAGTGTGACCTAAGTGTAAGTAGAAGTAGCAAGGCATACCTGAAATCTTGCATGTTCATGAGACAGAAAAAAGGACACCAGCAGTCCTACCATCACGTAAAACAATTACAGGTTTTTGTTTTACACTCACTTGGCAGGACGGTAGTACCTCCCTGGGCGGTTGCTGTCTACCAACCTACTACCTATGTTGTTCCTTGATACTTGAATATTATTTGTCTGATGACTGACAAACAAAATTCACCATATTTGTGTTTGTTCTTGGTCTTCAACTTGTACATATTATAAGCATTCAGCATGGAAATGTCAAGAAGATGGAAAAACAGTTTTATGTACCACTTATAACTCTTGCGAACACAGTCAGCAAACCCAATCTGCATGTCACATTTGTCCACTAAGTGCATATTCAGGTTGTAATCCATCACAGCTGTAGGTTTTACAGTGGGTTCATTGGTCTCTATTCTGCTTGCCAGTGTCTACCATTTCGTGTTGGTGAACTGATGTCAGCAGTGTGACATCATGTTTGTCATGCCACCTAAATGCCATGATGTCATTGGCAGCAAACACCTGCACTTCACCTCAACGACTGCCAGCATCGAACCTAGGCATATGCTTACGATTTCAACGCACTGTGCCACACACATCTGTCATGTTCACTCGCAAGAAATCACTGAGTAAAGGGCTTGTGTACCAGTTGTCAGTATATAAAATATGCCCCTTACCAAGATATGGCTCCATCATTGTTCTAACCACATCACCAGAGATACCCAGTAAGTTTCTGGTATCTTCCAGTGTTTTACTGCCAGTGTACACAATTATATCCAAGACCAGACCAGTTTTGCAATCACACAGAACAAATAACTTTATACCAAAGCATTTCCTCTTGCTTGGTATACATATACTGTTTGAATGAGAGTCTTCCTTTGAACAAAATAGAAGACTCATGAATAACAAGCTTCCTGAAGGGATAAAAATACATACAGCACTTTTGTTTCAGGTACATAAACACACGTCTGATCTTATATAACCTGTCGCTTCTGTCAGGCCTTGTTTTGTCTGAAAAGTGTAACATACGTAACAGTAACACAAATCTATTCACTGGTATAATGTCACTGAAAGCAGGGGTAGAAATCAGGCGGTGTGTCGTCCAGTATGTGTTGACACTGTGCTTATACACTTGGGGCATAAGCATTATTGTGGCAAAGAACAGATACAGCTCTGCCACAGTTGTCCTTCCACTGGTGTAGGCGTGATCTTGGTGAAAGAATAGTGTTTGCCATGGTGTACTCAAAGTATGTATTGCTTTCCCTGACAGTGTCCATCAGGGGTTCATCGAAGAACAACTGAAAGCATTCCAGTTCAGTGGCATTGTTCCCAAGTGTACATGATGGCCGTATTCCACTTTGTCCTCCATCAAAGTCATGGGGACTGGGAACAAACTCGTCACCTTGCTGCCAATCCCAGATGCGGTCAGCTGGTGGGTTCTGGATATTGTAACGTGGTTGTGGTTGTGCAGGTTGTGGTTGTGGTTGTTGTGGGAGTGTGGGGTCGGGTGAGGCTGGTTGTAGTTGTGCAGAGTCATCAGCGTGGGTAGTAGCGTGGCCCGCTGCTGGTGTCACATGACTCGTGCCACCATCACTATCACCACCACCGCCTGCTGCCTCACTCACATCATTGATACCCATCGTAACAATATCATCTTCACTATCAGGTCGTGGTGTAGGGCCACGGGATGTGCTCCGAGATATACTCCTTTCTCTTGGAAGAGCATATGGCACACTACCAGACCGCATGCGACATCGTATATACTGCTGCTTCACTGGGGAATATTCACCCTCACTGTCACAACTAGAACTGCTTTCAGTAACCTTGAAATCACTATCACTATCACTTACACTGCTCACATCTGAGTCTTGTACACGGGCAAATAGTTTCCTCTTTCGTCCTGGTACAGGTGAACATGAACGAGCGGCCCAGCACCAGAGGTGGAAGGTTGTGGGTCATCTGGGTTTTCATCACTAATTACGTTATCCTGGGCACTTTTTTCCATCACACCCGCTTCAAAACCAGGGAATTCACTTTCACTGATATTTTCATCGCTGTTAGAGCTATCACTTGGGAACAAAAGACCTCCAATCCACCAAGGAGTGAGGAACTTCTTAGCGTGAGGCATGGTGAAAATGGACTACCAAGATGGCGTTCATACAATGCACCGCTGAGTCCCAGATTTTTTTTCACAGGGTGCACACCCACCACTGAGACCTATTCTCTCTCATGTAGGCCTACCAGCCCTCTTCCGCTTGATTTGAAGCCGCTAGAATTTATGCGTATAGATACGTCTAACACGGTATCTCCCATGACATATATATATGACCACGACAGTCAAGGGGTTAAATTCACTCGCATCACCACTAGTTGCAGGCAATTTCTTTACCAAATCGTCATGCAACTGCCTAGCCTTTTCACAAATGATCGCTTGAGAGATGCTATCTCCTGCTATCTGTTTTTCATTTATCCACACCAGTAACAGTCTCTCAACATTTTCTAACATTTGCGGTCGCTGTTTGATAATTACAGTTGCACCTTTTGCAACAACAGCTTCCTTGATTGCCGTTTTCCTGCTCGCTGTAGTAGAGATGGTTGATTGGGGTTTTGTATACAACTTGGCCAGCTCCGACACACGCACTCCACTCTCGTACTTTGCAATTATCTCTCTTCATTTCAATAGTCATTAGCACCCTTGGTCTCAAAGGGTTGGCACTAGAAGCTTTCTTGGGGCCCATCACTCTTATTTTGCAGAAACAAGCACCAAAAACACTGTGATAATATGGAATGGACTGAATGTGTCCTTAGATGCGAGCACACTGGCTGGCTTGTAAACACTGGCACACACGGGGCAGTTCAGGCCACACGTGGACACATCTCGGACAAATCGCGTATACAGTGGACCCCCGAGTTTCGGCAGCCTCGACTTTCGTGAAATTCGACCTTTGGCGAGTTTTTTTTTTTGGGGTGGGGGGGGGAATTTGGCCTCGAGTTTCGTGAAAAGACTCGTGTTTCGGCGACCGTCTGGTACCCGACTGCCCGTCACCGTGCACACCAAGCCAGTCTCCCACGCCATTCACGCTCGGTGTGCCATTGTTTACCAACACGTGACCATCACCCCGTGGGTTCATACAATACATTTCATAATAATCCATTGTTTTTTGTGCTTGCAACTGCTAAATAAGTTATCATGGACCCAAGGAAAGCTAGTGCAAGCCCTTTGGTAAATAAAGTGAGTGACGGGGATGTGGAAGAGTTGGTGGAGGACCACAGGGAAGAGCTAACCACTGACGAACTACAAGAGCTTCAACTGGAACAGCATCAGACCACAACCGAGGAACTTGCTTCAGAGGAGGAGGAAGAGGGAGTGGATGAGGTGCCTTCTTCAGTGATTAAGGACATGTGTGGAATGAGTTGCAAAGTTTTGTTGAAAAGTATCACTGTGACCAAGCTGAAACAAGCCATATCTGCAACATGTACAATGACAGTGTTGTGTCCCACTTCAGGGAAGTCTTAAAGAAACGCCAGAAAAAGACCTCTCTGGACAGATATTTTGTGCGACAGGGGTCCAGTGACTCTCAAATTGTTCCCAGTGGCATTAAAAGAAGGGAAGTAACCCCAGATAAGGACTTGCTACCTAAAGTCCTAATGGAAGGAGATTCTCCTTCCAAACAATAGTGTACACCTTCCTCCTATCCCCTCCCGTCTTCCATCCACACACAAGTCTTCAGTAAAGGTAAGTGTAATGTTGTTATTATTTTTTTAAATGCATGTACTTGATTTCTGATTGTTTTCATTTTGTAAATATTTATTTAATTTGAAAAAAAAAAATTTATTTTAATATTTTTGGGTGTCTGGAACGGATTAATTTTATTTCCATTATTTCTTATGGGGAAAATGGTTTCGAGTTTCGTGAATTTCGACCTTCGGCGGGCTCTCTGGAACGGATTAATCACGAAACTCGGGGGTCCACTGTACCAGGTTTTGTAACGGGAACCGAGGCAAAATTTTTGCGATACAATGCATCGAATACCGGATTTATCGGATACTGATGGCATCGCGAACTGGGAGTCCACTGTACGTCGAAAACATTGGCTCATAAGACGCATATATACGGCCAAAACAGTCAAAGGGTTAAATGTGACTAGGTCTTTCCCACCAAGACAGTAATAGCCTGACCTATAGGCTGGTCAACAGGCAGAAGGGAGAGCTCCCATGGTTCCATATATTTCCCCTAAATTTTTGCCATCATAAATGACCATGATTGAAATGATAGCACACTTTTTTCAACCATCATATAGCTAAAATGTCCTAACAGATTGCGTCTTAATCGATGGTTCTAAAGTGTGAACATTTATTTTTAAATGCTGATTTCGTCTTAAGTCTAACATAAACCATTACTTTTCATTAATATAACTTTTTCTCTTCCTCTAAACAGTGGAGAAGGATCTCACCAGTCTGGTAACAGTGAGGACCGCACACCATCAGCAATGGCTCGAGCAGTGACGGTGCATGTTGACACCAACAGGGTGATGTACTTTGCTTAAGTGATTGCTGTACCTAGTCTGGCTCAAAGTTCACAAACATCTTTGTGCAAGATGAAGTCACATAGATTCATCTGCAGATATACTCGTCGATGCGTCTTTATTGTGGTCATTTTTTAATTAATGAGTTTGTTTGATTTAGATCTTCCATAGATATGAAAGTTATTCTGTGATTACTTAAGTTTTTTCTTGTGTGAAATTATTATGTTAGAAATCTCAATTTGACATACAAAGTTTATATCTGCTGCTCTTACTTTAAAAAAGTAGTTGTGTATTTGATAGTTGAATGACTGTTTATTATAACTGACTTGATTCGGTCATGCTGAATCACTTGTTGTCCCCAATTTAGATTTGGGTTGAAGTATTTAGGCGGCATTCCTTGAAGATATTTGGTGATAGCAGAAGTTGTAGGCAAAGATGACCATCACAATTTGTATTACATTCAATGGTACAGGTTTAATCCTTCATTGCAGGTTAAGGTTACTGTTTTCATATGGAGACCTGTAAAAGCCACGTTCTTAGATGTCTGTAATGTAGGACACTTGTACCTGCAGTAAGTGGTGTAAAGGCTTTTAGGATGTACCTGTTGATGTACCTCATGCTAGCGTGATGGCTTGTGTACTATATGCGATTTTAGCACGTTAAGTCACTGGAAACTATTGCTAGAGAGCATTAAATGCGTATTTTCATTACATCATGATACTTAGTATGTTATTAAGAGGATTAAGCCACATTTTGTATTAGTGCACTCTTTTGGTGCACCAGCTCCCTCAAGTAAGCTATTCTTCATAAAAAAAAAACTTGTGCACACTAATCAGCAATGATGAGGCTTTTATATGTGTACTTTTTTTTTTTTTTTTTTTTTGTGGTGAGAAGTATTCTAGTACACCTCTCTTGAGCATCATAGTTACTGAACTTTATGTAGATGAGTAACTGAAGCCAGGAAATCCAAAGCCACTGTGACATGGGTTTTTTAATTATTTAAGGTTAAAGACTTCTGCAGTCAAGTTTTTACTGCCATTTTTTTTTTTTTATAGAGAGCTAAAATAGCCCTCAGACACATGTGTACCTTCATTGTGGAGGTGGTGCTGTGATCTCCCCAGGATCTGGGGTGAATACTGTTTAGGAAAAATGGTTTTGTACATTTTAGGCATCTTGAGTTTCTCCTTGAGGCATTTTTAATATAGCCCTGATTATCACTTCAAAAAAAAAATCCTGATGTTAAAGTCTGAGTTGATTATACTTTTCATAGCATTATTTACCCCTTAACCCTCCCCTCAACTGTGTACTTCCTAGTCTTGGGCCAAAACTGCAGGCTGTTGCTTCAAGTGGGAGGTAGGTTTGATATTGTTGTTGGATTTGCAGTATATATTATTTGCAGTTTTGCAAAAACTTCTTTAAAGGGTATTTTAATTTATTAATACACAGCTTACCATTAAACTGCAAGTAAAGGTCAGCAGTACTGGTCTAAAACCTGAACATGCATAAATGCCACAGATATATGTATTAGACACCAGATTTTTTTTCAAGACAATATGTGGCAGCATGTTTTGGTTCAAGTAATTGAATATTACAATTCACAAAGAGCAGCCTGGGCTTGGGTGCCATATAAGTACATGTATAACATAGCTCGTGTGATGCCATGAGGCAAGGTGCAGCTACATTCATTTGCGGCAGTAAATGGCAACTCTACTCCGCTGAGATCATGTGAATTCCCAGTCTTCCTGAATGTTATCAAAACCCACATTAGTTAAAATGCAGAGTAGAGTTAATAACCTGGTCATAAGCAAATTACTTTAATATGAGAATATTTGGTCCAGTAATTAAAGCATTTTAGAAGTTTAGTAGGCATTTTAGGTAAACTCTGCATAGATATGCAGTCTGAATAATGTGTTTAACATTGGAGTTCAAAACTATGTAATATCTGCAAGATGCATAAATAACAGTTAAGCATTCACCTAGGTATGATATGGGAATGTTCTAACAACAGTGTTTTGTCCAATAATTCTGTAGGTTGTTGTGATGCTGCAGCATATAGAAAAAGATATTTATCTTTATTTTTCTTCAGCTAACCACATTCCATCCATATTGGATGTGTTAGGATTGGCAATTTTTGTCTTAAAAATTCTTAAGTTAGCTATAAAAAATATTGGTTCCTTGGAGACATAAAATTGCCAATCTTTTCAGCAAGAACCTTGGAAACTGGCATAGAGTAATGTGATGATCAGTCTAGCTGCGTCCACATGGGTCTGGTAGCAAGTCCTTACAGTGTTCATTCAAAACATTTCGTCCAGGTATCATGGGGTTCTTCCGGGTTGTCTGGCTGGCAATAATGTTCTTTACTTACTGCTTCTGCCCACTAGTGTCTTGCTCATTTAAATCTTGTTTATTATCTTTTTAAAAACAGTCACATTTAAATTGTTTTCCAGTTTGTGTTGTAGAAATTAACCTTCAGATTAATAAGCTCAGAATCTTTAATTTAAAAATTAGCAGAATAATTTATTTCACTTAGCTTCATTCTGCGAAGTTTTGCATTTGAAAAGGTAACCCGGACCCCAGTACCCTGATAGTTTTATAAAGGGCAGTTCAGCTTCTTCCAACCTCTATGCAACAGTATAGTCATAGAGATTGTAGGTTTTTAAAAGTTCTTAAATGCGCCCCTTTTTTCACCAGTGCAGCAAAATCATTTACATTATATTTAATTGGCACCTTGCCAATTCTCTCTTGCTTAGTTTTTGTCACAATATTTTGAAAGTGATATCTGTGAGCTTATGGGTAATTGTATAGTTTGCCTTTCTTTCTGTGGGACAGTTTTCTTATTGTTTTACATATAGTGCGGCTCTCAATTTTTTTCTGGGCATGACCAAAGATTGAGGATGCAGATGTTACTTTATAATTTAAAAAGTATTTTCACACTTTTATTTTAATTGGATGAAGGCATTAACCAATTAGAATAGCATTTTTCTAGAATTAAGAGGAAATCATGCGTGAAACACAAAATGGCTGATCATTTTAGTGAATTAGTACAGACCAGAAACAAAAACTTTAGTGTGCGATACAGTGTTTCTGTAGATTTTATAACATGGTTTACATCAAATGAAAATTTTTGTTAATTTTTAGCTTAGGTGTAAGTGGACAGTGTTACAGATTTTTACTATATATTTTTTCCTCGTAATTTGGCATTGGCATGTCTTTAAATGTTGTCTGTATCATGTGAGATAATGTGGGAGTTTTCCTTGTTGTATGAACAAGACTTAATGTATAGAATCCAGAGTATTACCCCCTTAGCTACCAAAGGATATGTTGTTATATGAGTGAGAAGCCGGTACAGTTGCATCATAGACTGCTAATGCATTGCCATTTTTCTCTCGTCGCTTTTTATTGTAGGAAGTCCTCTCCACATCCCATGGGTTTTAAGTGAACAGGCAAGTGTACCTGTAAGTTTCTTCCCTTAGAATATTCACATGCATGTATAACAGGCTATTTCACATCAGTCTGTCAAAAGTTAACAGGAGGAGGACCAAGAGCTAGAGCACACTCCCCCCTTAAACAGGTACAGTAATTACCTACAGCTAATTATACATACAACCCTCAACCTGTATTGGTAATTACATACACTCAAATAAGCAATTACATACACATTCAAATAGGTAATTACACACATACTGTAAAACCAGCCTTAAATGCTCAACCATGGTAAGATTTATATGTACAGTAATTAATTTTTTTAAGAGCAACACAAATTATTTGATATTGTTATAGTCTTTGTTTACAAGTAATATCTTAAACTATGGGGAATAATGTTGGTTTTATTGTATTAATTTCTAGCAATAATCATAATGGCACTGCTTAATATCAACAAATGTAGTTCATTGAAACTAGGCAGTCATCATTGATCTTTGTAGAGTCTTGGCTAACATATCATTAATTTTAATTTTTCTGAGCATTAATGTCATTTATTTGCTTTGCAGCCCTTAGAGGTTAATTATTTTATAGGCTTTATAATTTTCTGTGTATTCTAGATTTATTGCAAAATACAGTATATAAAATTTTAAATACTGAAATAATTGTTGTAATCCATATTTAAATGTTTGCAGTGTAATTGTGTGCTTGACTGGCAATATTTTTCTTGGCACTAAAATGGCATCAGCTGTTTGAAAAATGGTGGTTTTCCAAAAAGTTTTTTCTTGTTGAATATTACTGGATTAGTATGGAAGTGGAAATTCTCTTTGTGCTTTAAATTTTATGGGAAACTATTGAAAATATATAAATAAAAAATTAATTTTAAAGATTTTGGAAGAAATCCAGGACATTTTAGATACCTGGAAAAGTTCATGTGTTCATTTTTTGAACTCTCCAAAAAATCAAGCAAGTGGAGATAACTAGGAATATTTTTTAAGTAGATGGAACAGATTTGCTATCTAAAGTTAAGTCTCCATTCCACCTTTATGTGCTCATTATGGTCACTCTGGTATGTTATTTTGATGATTAACGGAAATATTGCAATCTTAAAATTACAAGGCCATAAAAAATCTTTCCTGATTAGATATTTTGTCTAATTATTAAAAAAAATTTTCTCCAGGGTATGGGATTAATCCTTGCACAAAAAAAAATTATAAAAGAAGGTAACTTGAAACTACAGGCTTAATGATTAAAGAAAAATTTGCATTAACTTAGTCTTCAACTATACAGTAATTGCATTGTTCTTAAATAGCATTTTTAGATAATATCTCATAATTTCTGCCTAATTCTGCATGTAATTGTAACAATGTTTTCTTTAAAGGATTGTTATATTTAAAATGGGTCATGAAAGTGTAGCATATTCTTAAATTTTGAATACCAGATGTGGATTATTGTAAAACACTTACAGCTAGTTCATGGTTCACACTAGTGGGTGATTCTAATCTTTAGATAGTGACTATGATTTTTTATTTTGAGTGGAGGGGCACAGGTGGAGGTGGGAACAATCAGCTTAGTGACTACTTTCCACCTCCACCTAGTAGTGCCTTAACCCACATGTTATCTTAAAGCTGGTGTCCAGATACGTTTCCTTTTCTCAGAGTTTATGTGTGAAAGCTGAAATTTTATTGTAGTTTGATAGTATCACTTGGATTTTTCAACTTTATATTTCATGTAAATCATCTGATGTTTTAGTTGAGACAGGTAATAAACAATGCACTGTCATATATCGAATGTGGCCATAAAATAGCTTTATGTTTATTAATAGTAAAATTGTGGTAGACCCTTTCTGATTCTATATTAACATTCCCACATGACAGGCAAGACATGTATTGCATTATTTATTTATAAATAGCCCATTCATTGTATATAATATGTGCTGATAAACAATTAGAAAAGGACTTGGGTCATGGTATCCATCAATGATTTATGATGGTGGCATCCTTGTACATCACCTCAATATATGATAATTTCTTAAACTCATTGATAAGAAAAACCGGTGATACGCAACCCTGGTTACTTTATGGGCAAAGACAAAGAAAGAAAGAAATTCATTGTTTTCCTTTTAAACTAAATTTATATTTACAAACCTCATGCAGCAACATTTATTAAAATCTTATGGAATAAGGTAGTGTTTTAGTACTCTGAAACATTAGTCTCATTTAATTTTAGTAAAAGTTTTCAATGAATACAAATCAAGACATTGGATGTATGGTCAAACAGTTGCAATATAACTTAATTTAATGTGGACAGTTTTTCTCTCAATACAAAATATGATACAGCCACTAAAGTATCAGAATCTCTTCAAGTAACCAGCCATATTTAAGGTTGCACTGTATCATTTAAGTCTCTTGCCTGGTCTTAAAATGCCTTGCATATTGAACTCTGTTAAAAAAAAAAAAATAGATAAACAGGCATGGGTATTGTATGGGAAAAATTTATATCAGATTAATGCATTTTTAACTAAGGAATTGTCATTATGAATTAAAGAGCACCATTCAGTCAAGTACAGTAATGTAGATCCATGGCTATAAATGTTCATGAGCAGCATGTCCTGTGCCCCCAACACATATCCTGCCACTGATGTACCATATCGCAGTCACATGATATCATTTAGAATAGTGCAACTACCAGTAACACAAAGCAATATGGGGTTAGAGGCTACAGTCTCAAGACATAACCTAAAAATCTCACTAATTTAAAGCTGACAAAATAGTAATGTTATACCTGTTTTTATTTTTTTTTTTTTTTTTTTTGTCTGAAAGTTTTATTTTTTCTTCAGATTAAAAGTTTATCAATATTTAAGAGGTAATACAGAGAGGGATCTGGTCACGATTTGCCTTGAGGCACATGCAATGTCCATGTCCAATGTTTACTGCAGTGAGAAGTACTTTTGTATTCCAAACTTCAGTTATTCAGTTTGTGCAATTTTTAATATAAACTTGATTACAATCTAATATATTTCATTCTGTAAATTGAATGAAATTTAACCTGAATATTTTTTGTTAATATTTTGTTGCCAAGTTACTGTTACAGTTTAAGCTTATTTGCTGTTTAGTTGATTATGTAGAAATTATTCAAAGTTTTACTTTCTTCATAAATACAGTAGTTTCCAGATAACCCAGTGTCTAAGTACATTGTGTGCTTTAAACATTCGTATTTAATTTACCTTTTTCTTCACTAACTGGATGGTAGGATTTTAAATAATGAATTGCTAATTTTTCATAAAATTTAAGTAAAACTGCTCATGAGGGAAGGTACAGTATGTATAAGAAGGATTACTACTAAGATTTCATGTGTCGTGAGACTTCAACGTAATCTTATTCCCTCTTGAATTTCGTCCTGCAGGCCATATCCAATAAATAATACTTATTTGAAATTAACCATATCTTAATAAAAAACATATATCATTCCATATAATAAATATCTATATTTGTGTGTGTGTGTGTGTGTGTATTGTGTATTTCAAGAGCATTTTAGCATTTTCCCCAATTTTTATTTGATCACTTGGTAGCATATCATATGGATAAAGTTTCTATAGTCATTTCTTACATATCATGTGATTTATATATGAGGTTATAAAACAACCCCACACCAGTCATTCTAAGAAATACTCCTTTGACTTGAGCATTAAGGTTGGGCACAGGATATGGTGGTTTTGAAGCAAGATAAAAATAAAAAAAAAAAAAAAAATTCTGTTTGTTTTGTTTTTATCCTTAAATTATGTACACAAGTACAGAGAATCTGCTCCACTCAATTTTACCTCTCATACTAATAAAGTCTGTAGCCCTTCTTTAACTTTCCTCAGCATTCATGAGATGTCAGCCTATGGCAGGTAGGTATAATATTGCTCTTGTTCCATGCTGTGCTCTACATTTTTTATGCCTTAATGGCAGTTACTTTTACATATCTGTTAAGGAATTATGGGCTTAGTAGTTGTGGCTGCTCTGGGTGGGCTTTGTGGCAGGTTTCTGGCCACCCTCTCTCACGTCTGCTGAGGTGGCTCGGTGGATGTGAGGTTGCTATCCTGATTGCTCCTCTTCAAGGGGAGCTCCTTGGCGTGGTGAAGAGGCTCTTGGTCTGAGAAATTAGACCTGTCGGTCTCCTTCCTCAGACCGAACCTAATTACCCCCCAAACCCCCCTTCCCTATCCCATCCTCCCCTTTTTCCTTTCTCCTCCTCCCCACCCCTCCCTTTTGCCCTTCCTTTTTTGGCATTGGGATTTTTTCCCACAGGCACGCTAGTTCCTAGGTAGGGGAAAGGGTACCAGGGTCCATCCCATTCCGTTGAGGTTCTTGGCAGTGGCGTAGTTTGCCGTGGAATCTGGATCGCCTCGGGATGTCCCGATCCCTCTCCAGTATCCTGGAGGGTGGCTTTGGGTGTCTTTCGGGCGACGGGTGTATCTCTGGAAGCCACCTTTCGGATTCCGGGGGTGGTGGCCGAAGGAGGTATGCTTTGTGGCGGATATCCGGCCACCCTCTCTTTTGTCCACCGAGGTAGCTCGGCAGATGTGAGGTTGCTATCCCGGATTGCTGGTTTACTGGCATGATGGGTAGAGTATGGCACAGGTTCCATGCTGCATCTGCGCTACTTGTGGTGCTGAGGTCCTCTTGGGCGCGGAGGGAGATTTCTGGCCCTTTTATTCCTCCTAGGAACTATCCCTCCCTGGTCCCCCCTCCTTTTTTTTTTATTTTTTTTTATTTTTATTTTCTTTCTTTTTTTTCTTAAAAAAAAAAAAAAAGTAACCTAACCATGGAGTACCCGATCCATGACCCCACTACCCCAGGGGCCCTTATTGTTACCGCACCCCGTTCTGACCTCGCCTCGTCTTTTGGCCACTCTTCGGACATTCCTAAGGCCCCTGTACCTCTTGCTGGTGCTGTTTCGTCACCCGCTTCAGGTGCCGGGGTTTCAACTGACTCCTTCGATTTGTCTAACCTCCGCTCTCCCTTGACTATGCTTCCGGCTTCTCCCTCTATGATGCGGCGATTTTCGAATCGCCAGCCCGTCCCACATCGGACCGACTCTGGTCCCACTTCTAAATGCCAACGACAATCTCCTGATGATGTTACTTCGTTACCTTCCCATTCTACTCGGAAAAGACCGACACATCATGCACTCCCTCTCCACACTCAGTTTCGGACCACACAATAGACTAAATTCTTTACATTAAGACCGACTTCTTCTACTGCCTATCTTTCCGACCATAGTATTGCCAAAGCGCTCCTATGCCACGTTGGTAGAGATATTTCCTTTTATGCTCTTAAGAGTGGTACGTGCATCATCACAGTCGAGAATTCTACCCAAGCTCATGATCTTTCTCTTCTTTCACATATCGATACTATTCCTATCACTATCCCCTCAAGGAAGGTTCCTTGATGTTGGTGAGGGGCTCTTGATTTAGGGAATTGGATCTGTGCTCCAGTTTCCCAAATTAAGCCTGAATGCCTTCCACATCCCCCCCCCCCCAGGCGCTGTATAATCCTCTGGGTTTAGCGCTTCCCCCTTGATTATAATAATAATCCTATCACTATCGAAAAACATCATTCCCTCAATTCTTGTAGTGGTACTGTTATTCTGCCCCATACCATAGTCCAACAGAATTTCCAGAAATGTGGCACTGACATTCTCGAACAGCTGGAACTCCAAGATCTCCCAATTCTCAAGGTAGACACTTATGTTCTTCCTGCCCGCGGGCGAAGACGATACCCTTGCAATGTGGCTCATTTAACTTTTGACAGCCATGAACTCCCATCCTCTGTTTATATAGTAGGACATCGGTTACAAGTTCGGAAGGTGATCTCTACACTGCAACAGTGTAGGAATTGCTGGCGATTTGGCCACCCAGCAAAACATTGTAGATCTATAGCCGAATGCCCAGTCTCTGGTGCCGATGACCATTCTAATAAGTCTTGCAGTCGACCTCCCTCTTGCCTTAATTGTCATGAGGCTCACCCTTTGTACTCTCGCCGTTGCCAGGTTTACTTAAATGAGCGGGAAATTCGTTGCCTCAAAGAGGCAGAAGGTCTCCCTTATGCTATGACGGTTTCTCATCTCCGCCTCCAAGGGAGACTGCCCCGTGTTTCAAAGCATCCCCCCACTTCTGGGGTCACATCTTCAGCAGCCTCCTCTGTGGTTGCCAGTCCCACAGTCCTATATCTAATTCTTTTGCTGTCCTGGGCTCAGACATCCCTACTTCAGCTCCTCAGTCTGTCCTCACTTCGTGTTCTCCCTCACAAACCCTGGTATCGACAAGACCTCCCAATCGTCCCTCTACTTCTCAGAGGTCCAAAAAATCTTAAACCCCTCCTTCCCTTCATCCACCTCCACATTTTACCTTCCAGGTCACTGTACCTGGGTCTTTCCCTTTCACTACCTCTGTTAAAAGTGTGGAGGTTCATCATCCTCCTCGTACTGTGCCTTCCTCCCCTGTCCCTTCCCAAGTTTCTTCCTCTTCTGCCACCTCCCAGGTTTCTGCCTCTTCTGTCCCCTCCCACACTTCTCCAGTTCCCTCCACCCTTTGGCCTCCCCCTACCTTGGTCCAGTCCATTACAGCTCCGATCTTTACTCAAACTCCTCCTCCTCCCATCTCCAATATTGTCTCCCATACGACGTCTCTGAACTCCGAAACACTTGAAGCAATCTCTGAATATATTGCAGAGACCAAACCATCGATGGACACTGATCCACCCTCTGTTCCTTCTCTTTCCTCTTCTCCATTTGTGCAACTCCTTTCTTCACAACGCACCGTTCCTTTGCTGCTTGAACGTTTTCTTTTGCCACCGCATGTGGACTTTTCAAACCCTTCTAGTCTGTAGGTACCCTTACCTGCGGATTTCAGGTATCTTTATCATTGCCAATCATGGCCTATTTACAGTGGAATATTCGCGGCCTCGGGTAATCAGGGTGAGCTTCAGATGTTGCTCTCCCAGTTTTCCCCTGTTAATGTTTGCTTACAGAAACCAAAATTACACTCTGCCGTTATCTATCCCATCTCAAGCTATAATTTATTGTATTCTTCAGATCCTTTTCCTGATGGGACCTTTAATGAAAGTGCCCTTCTTCTACGCACTGATATTCCGTACCATCAGCTATTTGTTCGTACTTCGCTGCATTACACAGCAGCTTGTATCCACTTGCATAGGTGGTATACACTGTTCTTTGTATCTCTCTCCTCGGGCATTATCTATCCCAGATATTGCCTTTCTTGTTTCGTCATTACCGCCACCACTTCTGTTATTTGGCGATTTTAATGCCCATCATTTCCTCTGGGGGGGTCTCACTGTGATACCCGTGGCATTCAGTTAGAGGCTTTTACTTGCTACCCACTCCCTCCATGTTTTAAATACAGGTACTCGCACCCATTTTGATCCTCGGACTCGTACTCTCTCTTCCATCGATCTCTCTCTGCTCTTCCTCC